TTTGTTTTGATCTTATTTCGTATTTTATATCTTCTACAGACTCATTAAAAAATAGTAGAAGTGCATTTTGGTAATTATCTCAATTTTTTCAAATGGGAGGGGGGTGGCTCATTACGATATTCCAAAATAGCGTTTTCTAACGAGCAATTCAGTACCACACAATCGCTTGTTCATCACTCAAATAAAGAATTTTCCTAGCATTCTAAAGATTTTTTGAAAATTTTAGTTCAATATTAGAATAAACTAGCGGTTGTGTAATACTAAATTGTTCGTTAGAAAATGCTCTCTCGGAATATGATAATGAGCCATACCCTTTCCATTTGAAAAAATTGATATAATTCCAAAAATGCGCTTCTACTATCTTTAAATGAGTCTGTTGAGAATATTAAATAGAAAATAAGATCAAAACAAATTTTCCCAGGTTCCTTGGAGCAAAATTGAGCATTTTAACTAATTCATAGGTCTCTAGATTAAAAAGTAAAAATTTAAATTATTTGGAGATGAAATGTCAAAAAGTGACAAATGAAGTGTCATTGTACTTGTAATGTAGTTTTCTATTGAAATGAGGAAAAATATACCTGGCGTCTCATTTAAAATAAGAAAGTTCTGGTCACTTCCGGTGATAATAAATAATTAAATACGTCAAATAATGCACATCCAGGTCATAAATAAACACACCAAATTTCATTTGTTTATTTGGTATTTTCAAAAACCAATAATTGATGATTATTGCATCTATTTCTATTATTGTTTCACACAAATAATCAATTGCATGCTTACTCAAAAAATTTTAAATGATTATTTCATTCATTATAAAATAGACCAATCAGACAACGTCATTTTTTGAATGAATTTTGTTTAAATAAGTGATTATTTCACAAGACCTTGTTTATCAGCGATTAAATTTTTGTTTACCTTTTTTGACAGAATTTTGATAGAAATATTCTGACATTTTATAATAAAAAATAGAACTTTTTGTTTGTGGCTTCAATCCTAATAATTATTCAGGAAATAATCTAGCCGTATACCACTCGACCTATAAATTTAAATGGATTAAACTATCCAAATATTTTTCGCACAACTTTGCTTTTTGGCAAATAGTTTCATGCACAATAACTTTCAAATAAAAACCCTTGTGCTTTTATTAAGTTATTGTGCATTCAACTATTTTCCAAGCAAAATCATGCTCAAAATATGTTGCATAGTTTAATCGATTAAATTTGAAGGTCTTGTGATATAATATATGATTATTTCACTCATGACATAATAGACGAATCAGACAACGTCATTTTTTGAATACATTTTGTTTATAGTATTTTTAATACCTATTTAGAAGTACCAGTCGTTCTAGTGACAAAACGTATGTCGCTTCTTGACACACAAATAAAATTAGGTTAGGAATTTCCTATTTCTACATGAAATTGACGTATTAGCAATCGACGTTCGTTTTTGTTGGTAATTTTTTTGTTTCATCTGATTCGTGATTAATAAATAAGGATGGCGTTATCCTAAATAGGTATTACAAATACTATAAATAAGTGATTATTGCACAAGACCTGTTTATATGCGATTAAATTTTTGTTTACCTTTTTTGACAAAATTTTGATTTGTTGCTGGCTTTAAACCCAATTATTCAGGAAATAATTTAGCCGTATATCACTCGACCTTATAAATTTAAATGGATTTAACTTTCCAAATATTTTTTGCAAAATTTTGCTTTTCGGCAAATAGTTTCATGCACAATAACTTTCAAAAAAAATCAAGCTCATCAAGCAATTTGTTCGTATACGCAACTTGTTATGTGCGAGTAGCTTTATTTGAAATTGACATTGGACGTGTGCATCTCTATTTGCGTGCACGCAAAAGATGCACTCGCTCGCTGCGTTGCCACTTTTCTTTTCACAAAATGTTGAAAATCTACCATATAAAAATGAGTGGATTTTTGAATTTTACGATATTTTGGCTGACGGTGACGTATATTTTACGATGACATTTATTTATTATGATTTTTTTGATGTTTTGAGGTTAGAATTTTCTAAAATATCTTTCGTGTTTACTTATAAGCAATTTACCACAAAAAATGAATATTATTTCACCAAGCCCTATTGCTGTAGATAGAAAAAAGAGCTCTGCAAACGCAAATGCGGAGGAAAAAAGGCTTCTTGTCCAGTTTGTCAGAGAACGCCCCAACCTTTACCAAAAAGTCAAGTAAAAAAATGTTGCAGAAGCCTCAGCGGTACTATCATGGTGCCCGGTAGTAGATGCTTTTCTTGGCGCCACTAAATAGCCCTGTAAAGCCTCATATAAGTCTTCAAAAGTAGCATTATTTAGCCGATTTTTTTTCACGAAAGCCCGGTCACTTAGGACGAAGGCATAAAATCGCGGCCTTACTGCGAGGTTTTCGTTAAAACCCTTCGTTAGTTCAAGAAGACCCAGCCCATTGCTGTTAATAACGTTTTTAAATCATATATTATTTATAAAAATCACCACAATATTCGAACTTATTTGAAGTGAACCATCAAAATTAAAATAAATCGAAATAAATTGACAAATTGACAACACAACTTGCGTGTGCGAGCTAGATTTGCGATCGGTACACCCCCATGCGCAAAAGTTGCGAGTGGTGCAAAGTCATATCGCTCGCAGTGCATTTCAAATAAGCCGTGCACCAGTTTTCAATCGCAAATAACGTCATTTGCGTATACGCAAAGTTGCATCAATTTCAAATAAAGCCCCCCAGATTGTAATTACGCGATAATTTGCACTAGTGCAAATTATCAGATAATTGCATACTAACTGGTGCGAAAACTGGTGTTTTGACATTTTTTGACAAAAAATTTAAATTTTTGATTTATGAAATTCTCTCATTAAATACAACTCGTGCAATGGAGTTATATTACTATTGATAATTGCATACTTTGCATAGTAACTGGTGTTTCAGCCGTTAATTTAACGGCCGGTGGCCTGGAACAGACCTTTAATAACGGCTGGCGGTCAGTGGAATATACCTTTTCGATTTCAGTTTCGCTCATGTTGTATTGAGATAACAGTACAGTATCATGAAAAATTTAGAATGAAACACGGCCGATAACTGCAGATAATAGCTTTGGCTAATTATGATCCTCGGCTATCGCCTCGGATCACGAACTTCAGCCCGGCCGTTATTTGCTACTTATCGGCCTTATAACATTAATAACTATTTAATTTCTGACAAATTTACACTCATGCGTTTTTAACTGAAAGAGGCACTCGTGCACTACGTGCACTCGTGATTTTCAAAAGTTAAAAAAAAAAAAAAATAGACCGTAGAAAAATTAGATTGCACATTAGAATAAGCAAGCAAAATACTATCCAATAGGCGAAAAGAAATTTCTATTCTGTCCATGTCAGAGCAATACAAACTCATCGTATGACTATGAGTATTAGCAGTGTGTCGAAGCTTTGGTTGAACACTTGCGTTTTTCGAAAGATATTTTCCAGCAACCTTCGATGACACACTGGGCAAAAATTTCTTCGATTTTTGAAGAAAAAAACTTCATTTATATCATCTACTTCTGGTTCTTTTTCCATGTCCAGGCACAAAACTATAACATTTCGATATACTTTGTACACTACGAGACTTCATTATTACAGGAATGGATAACTCATGAAGAGAATGAAGACATTCTAGACGTTCGAAATGTATAAAGCACATTTACGAAAGCATATTACCATCAATAAGGCTTCGTTGATTAAGTTGAATAAGATTATTAACTTTTGAAAAATCTGTGTTATGAAGTTTCCCCATGTTAAAGCCCGCAATCGATACAAAACATCAAAATCCATCTCAAGAAGACTTTGTGTCGAAACATATTATGTTGTGTATAATAAAATAGGTACCACCTAATCTGTGAAAATTTGTCTTTTCATAAAGCTTAACGAAACCAAATTATTGATTGCTGATGGTATCTCCGGTCCAAAGGAGCATTATCGTTACAGATTCTTCAGGAGAAACATAAAACAATAATTTCCACGACTGCTCTAGAAAGCTATCAAAAACGCACTACTAACTTGCCTAGAAAATCATTTATTCCGCACAGCGCGCGAAAAGTACTTTTCACACTCCGGAGCGTGCAAGAAGTACTTTTCACACGCTAAAATAAAGATAACACTTCCACTGAATTTTTGTTCTGCAAGCATCTCCGAGTGCATTCCGCCGATGTAACAAAATTGTCAGGTAATTATAACCTTAAATAATAACAAAATAAAATTCAAATCCCAATGTAAATATAGGGACCGGGCACAAATTGAAATTCGTGACCCCTAGTGGCAATTTTCATAAGAATTTGTATAATAAACAATTGGGCTTTTGACAAAATTCCAATAAACTCTAACCTATAAGACGAGACTATGCGTTTTTTTATTATTTTGTTTACTTGTCACTCGTATTGCAAAAAATGGAGTTGGAAATAAATTTTTGTTTCCAAAATATAAAATGTATCCACCACGAAGCTGAAGACTGAATAGTTAGAAGTCAAATAAGGAATCGGACTTGCCATTCAATTAAAGTTTGCGCAAGCAAGTTAATGAACATGACGGGACGTCTATCCCGGCCTAACTATATTGGACTTCTGTCAAAAGCCCAATTGTTTATTATACAAATTCTTTTGAAAACTGCCGCTAGGGGAATTTGTGACCGGCATCTATAGTTATTTCGCAGTCGTAAAAAAATATAGTGTGTAACGCGTGTGAAAAGCACTTTTCACACTCCTGTGGTTTGTGTCACCAAACTTTCCCACGCGTTTTCAACACTTGTTGCACAATATACTATTTTAGCATAACCTATTGAAATCAGCTTGATTTATTGATGGCTATAAAATTAACGATATCGGAAATATTAGGTGAATATTTCAAGACACTACAAGCGATCTTTTTTCCAGGAAAGGCTGACTTTCATATTTAAACTTCATATAAATTATAGTAAAAATGCTATTACTTATCAATCACCTACAAATTCTTACCTGTATGGATCCGAAAGTGAATTTGCTGTGAGCTTCTGGTCCCAAAAGTTTTCCCGCACACATTACAAGGAAATCGCTGACCAGGTGCATTGCTATGGCAATGCCTGTGATTCAGTAAACTTCTTCCATCCGGAAAATCTTCTTCGCAAATATCACAAGCCACCGTCTTATCTCTATGCGAAATCATGTGCCTCTTAATCTGAACCAAATTGTAAAAAGTTTTAGGGCATTTTGTGCAACTAAAAGCCTTTTCTTTCGAGTGTTCCCACGAGTGCTTCAATAAAGCTCTACTGTCTTTGTATCTACGACCACACAAAGCACAGCTATGCTGGGGTAAGTTTTTATGAGTACTTTGTACGTGACCGGCCAATGCGTTGTCCCCCAGGCACACCTCGCCGCAAATCATGCAGCGACATTCTGAACCACGGGCATGTAGTTCAGCGTGAGCCAGAAGATCCAGTCCTTCCTTGAAGAATTTTCCACACAAATTGCAAATGTGTCTGAAATTCTGCTTGCTAACGCGTTTTTCTGGTGAATTTTCTCGTCTGTGAAATTGGGTTCCCCAATTAGACGGTACCATAGTTCGCAATTGTCTTTTCTGGTACGGAGTAATTACTGGTCTCAAAATCTTAGAATCTGCCATCTCTTGTTTTGGTGCGGGTCTGGAAATAACTGTCCTCTCGAAACAATAAATTAATAAGCATTAAAAAAAAAAAAAATTACTTACGATTCTTACGAATTATTCGGTTTTCCAATTTTCTTTTTTACTGCTACTTTTACCCTGTCAGTGAAGGATCTGAATGTTATTATTTTCCTTTTTTTAAATAATTTGTAGGGCAAATATGGAAGCTCCAACAAAAAATTATTTGACAAAGTGTCAAAGTGAAGGTTATAGTTGCAACCCTGGCAACGACTATTGAATGGCCAGTTTAAGGCCGATTCATACTATTAGGTCAAGTTATATTCTGATCATAGTCCGGTCACAGTTAGATCCAATGGTTAGATCAAATATCATAACATGTGTTTACACAATTCACATTATTGTATTACCAACCAAGAACTGGAACAAAAACACATAATAACGAAACTTTCAAAAAACGTCGTATGTCAACAAGCAATAAAAAAGAACAGCATTCCTCCTTGTGGCATCCATCTTTGTTGGCTTCACTTTCGACAGATATGGCAATTAGCGAGCGCATTCCAGTTCTTGGTTATAGTTCATTGTACTGGACTGTGATCAGACCGTGATTTGACTTAGTATAAATCGGCCTTCATATTCACGAAAAGTTCAGATTGGACTTGGGACACTCCCAGAATAGTATATTGTGTATTTAGGTGGAAAAGTGACACATTCTCGGCCGACGGTGTAAGTTGATCTAATTACAGAATAGCTATCCAGTTATTGCGTGAAAGATACGAAAATAAACGTGTGTTAATTCACAACCATACTAGAAATTTATTCGAAATACAACCAATTACAAAGAAATCACATTCAGCATTACGAAAGTTAATTGATAGCGTCTTAAGAAATATTCGAGCATTAGAGAGCTTAGAACAACCAGTCGATAAATGGGATACGGTATTGATCTATTTAGTAGTTCAAAAATTAGACAATACTACCCGAAAAGAATGGGAAATTTTTAATAAAGAAGATTCACCGAAATTTCAGGATTTTTTAAATTTTCTCAAGAACAAATGTCAAATACTCGAAACGATAAATACAAAAAATCAAAATATATTTGAAAATTCAATAGAGGCACGGTCCAGTCGAATACCCCGTAACGTTCTCAATCATTTGAACGCTTCAGACCCGGTAAATCCTTCATTAAATCAGACACAAACAAGTTTTTACTCATTCTGTAAAGAAAAAAATCATCTCACGTTCAAATGCCCAAAGTTGCTGACTTTACAAATAAAAGATCGATATTCCGAACTGAGAAGGTTAGGTCTTTGTACAAATTGTTTAAGAATTGGACACAGAGCCGACGCTTGCACAGGAAAATGTTGTAAAGTCTGTGACCGAAAGCATAATTCTATCCTTCATACCAAGTCTGAAAGCATGTTCGTATGAGTCTTGCGAACAGTCGCCTCTATTACTTGAAAATGCCTTGACATCATCCAATGTGCAAACACATTTGAACCGATACCAAATTTTGCTAGCTACTGCAATTGTTTATGTTTTAGATAGAGACAATAAACCTGTTAAATGTCGTGCCTTACTTGATTCAGCAAGTCAATCGAATTTTTGTTCTGAAAATCTTTTTAGTAAATTAAACATCACATCAAATAAAATAGGAATTCCCGTTTTCGGAATTAATAATACGGCCAGTAAAGTAACAACCAGAATAAAAACAAGTATTAGGGCATTATATAATTCTTTTCAATCCACAATCGATCTTTTAGTTATCGATAAAATCACCTCAAATTTACCACAAATTTCCTTTGATCCTTGTTTACTTCAAATTCCGAAGAATTTAGAGTTAGCAGATCCGGACTTTGCCCAGTCGCAACCAATAGATTTGTTGATCGATACTGAATTATTTTTCAATTGTCTAAATAGCGGAAAAGTATCGTTTGGAAAGAATGCACCCATTTTACAGAATACGAAATTTGGATGGGTTGTAGTAGGACCTTTTCATTTTAATGGAATGCACAGTTTACCAAAACAAAATTGTTTTTTGATGACAAACGGAAATGAACAAACTTTGCACGATGCATTGGAAAAATTTTGGCAGATAGAACACATCACGGAAAGAAGTCAAAATCGATTGACTAGCGAAGAATTAGAATGCGAAATACATTTTAGAAAAAACTACAAAATTTCAAATGGCCGATTTGTCGTTCAATTGCCATTGAAGTCAAACCATACGGAACTCGGAGAGTCTTAAGGTCTGTTCGTACAGAAATCACAAACCAGTCAGACTGCATTTCATTGGTTGAAACTAGTTTCCTGACTGTTTCTGACTGTTTTCAACCAATCAAATTCGCTCTGACTGGTTGGTGATTGCTGTGCGAACAGGCCTTTATTCAACCGCATTAAAATGTTTAAATTCATTGAACAGGCGGTTGGATAAGAATTTCGAATTACGTAGGGCTTACACAGAATTCTTGAATGAGTATGAAGAATTAGGGCACATGTCCCGCGTTAATCTCGATCTGGACGAAGCAAACAAAACTTACGTATATCTTAGCATTATCTTAGTCATCACGCCGTAGTTAAAGAAACCAGTAGTAGGTACTACAAAATTGCGTGTAGTTTTCAACGCAAGCCAAAAGACAGATTCAGGTCTTAGTCTCAACGACGTTTTAAAAATCGGTCCTAAAGTACAAAAGGATATTTTTGACATAGTTTTGCAGATGCGTACTTACCCAATTTTAATTGTCGCCGACATAGAAAAAATGTACCGTATGATAGTAATAGATGAGTCACAACGTAATTTCCAAAGAATCTTGTGGAAGGATATGGAAACGAGAACACTTATTCACTATCAATTGAATACTTTAACGTACGGAACCGCCAGCGCGTCATTTTTAGCGACCCGTGTCTTGCATGAAATAGGGATGAAGCTTCAACATTCGAATCCAGATGTCAGTCAAATCATCATAAACAATTTTTATATGGATGATTTAATTTTTGGTCATCATGATTTTAATAGAGCGGTGTCATTAAAAAACGAATTAGAAGAAGCCCTGAAAGAGTATGGATTAAACCTCCGCAAATGGACTTCTAATGACGAACGTATAACACCTCGCAATGACACACAACACAATAAATTTTATAAAAGAGACGAAACTGAAACAAAAACGCTCGGTACGTTTTGGAGCCCTGGCACTGACACAATAAGTTATAATTTCAAATTGAAGTTTGATGTTTCAAAGATTACAAAAAGAACTATTTTGGCTGTGATAGGTCAGCTATTTGATGTTCTCGGATTGATTAATCCAGTTATTGTTAGAGCTAAACTGATTTTACAGAAGGTTTGGAAAATGAAGGTAGATTGGGACACCGAAGTTCCCGAAAACATAGCCAACGAATGGTCACATTTTGTAAAGAAATTAAATTATTTGAATCAATTTCAAATTTCTATGTGCATTTTGCCTGTAACTTCAAGGAATAGTCCCGCCATGCTGTGTGGTTTTTGCGACGCATCATTGGCTGCGTATGGCGCTTGTGTTTACTTGGTTTACAGAAAAGATAATAAGGAAATTGACTCAAATTTGATATGTGCAAAATCTCGAATAGCGCCTTGAATTACATCAACCTTGGCTCGTTTGGAACTATGTGGAGCATTACTATTAACGCAGCTAATCAACAGAGTAAGTCATACATTAAAAATTGGAGTCAATGACATTGTACTTTTCTCTGATGCTACTATAGTGCTTGATTGGCTAAGTTCCGAACCAAGTAAATGAAAGATTTTTGTTTCCAATCGAATAGCCGAAATACAAAGGATTACAGAAAATATGGTTTGGTGCCATGTAGAAACAGAAAATAACCCCGCGGATATAGTATCCAGAGGATCTGATCCCGAAGATTTGCAAAATCAATCACTTTGGTGGTACGGCCCATCATTTTTGACAACGGAACGGCCTGCCATACGGAAATCTAATAAAATCATCATCCCCGATGTTCGTAAAGAAATGATAAATTTATCTTTTGTCGTCTTTAACCAAAACTCGGATGTCTGGGTTGAATTCTTTTCTAAATTTTCTTCCTATACTAAGTTAGTTCATGTGCTTGCTTACATTCACCGATTTATATACAATATTCGCCACGAAGAGAAACGAAAAGGTCCTTTAGATTCACCAGAATTAGACGAGACTGTTTTAAGGTGCTGCAAAGTTATTCAGCTTGAATGTTTTACCGAAGAAGTCAAGTGTTTAAGAACTAATCGGAAAGTATTCAAGCAACGCAGACTTATTAGCCTAAACCCTTTTCTGGACAATTCTCAAATAATACGTGTAGGAGGTAGATTGTCAAACTCGAATTTAACTTTTGACCAAAAACACCCCATCATATTACCAAGCAATCATCGTTTTGTAGAATTATTAATTGATTATTATCATCAAAAATTTTTACATGCAGGTTCGCAATTTATTTTAAATCAAATTCGCGAGAAATTTTGGATCATTAACGGACGAAATTGCGTTAAGAAGGTTTTGAAAAAATGTATTACCTGTTTCCGCGTGAAACCGTTAAGTATCAATCAAATAATGGGATCTTTACCCACTCCTAGAGTCGTACCTTCTCGTCCATTCTCACATTGCGCTGTAGATTACGCAGGTCCTTATTTCATAAAAGATGGTAAAACCCGAAATAGAGTGCTAATGAAAGCATACGTTTGCATTTTTATTTGCTTTAGTAGTCGTGCGGTTCATGTTGAGTTGGTCACGGATTTAAGCTCAGAAGCCTTTCTTAACGCCTTCAAGCGATTTGTTTCTCGGCGCGGATTAAGTGGTCATATTTTTAGCGACAACGGAACCAACTTCGTTGGTGCTGACCATGAATTGCAACGACTATGCTTAGTCGTCCAAGATACCGTTAACAACAAGTATCAAAATTATTTCGCGGAACATAAGATTAAATGGCATTTCATACCTGCCAGATCACCTCATCATGGAGGCATTTGGGAGTCTGCCGTGAGATCTTTCAAATTTCATTTAAAAAGAGTTCTTGGAGATCATCATTTAAATTTTGAGCAATTTTATACCCTACTTACTCAAATTGAGGCAATTCTAAATTCCCGGCCAATCATACCTCTAACTAACGACCCGTCCGACCTCGAAGTACTTACTCCAAGTCATTTCTTAATTGGGGAAAGTCTCGTATCTGTGCTTCAATCAAACGACGTCGATATTTGCACCAATCGATTGCGCTGCTACA